TTACTTTTGGGAATACTATTATTAGTATTCCTAAAAAAGTTAAACAGTAAAATATCATTATTCCTAAATTATTATTCTATATTTTTCAATTTCTTTTAAACCTTTTAAATTTATTAATTTAACTAAACATCCTCAAATATATTTTTTTTAAATTGCAAAAACACTCCGGCCACCCTCCGACGGTGGTGGCCAGCTGTCCGTATTTAATGGGTGGGTTGAAAGTGTTTTTGTTAACTTTTAATATTTTATTATAGGAGTGTTTAATAAATAAATAAACATAGAGGATATTTTTATTAATTTCTAAATCCTACATCGTAATATCTGTCCAATTTAACTTTTTTTAAAAGATTATTCTAAAAACTATCATAATAATGAACCAAACGGAGGCTAAGTATTTAGTGGGAAATCTTATTTTGTCTATTTGTAACAATGCAGGAATTATTTTAATCCTTAATCATATTATTTTAGAAGAAGCATGAGTGCATGACTAATGCGGGATCTCACATAACACGCTCACCATCCTTCCTTGAAACTGCTTCGTCAAAATCACTATACGTACCCACTTTTGGAGATTCAAAGATTCAGACACAAATCCTGATTGGAGCAAGCATAGGATGAAATACTTTTAAAAGGTTGTTCTGAAATTTTGGAAAAATTCTATTCAACATTCCCACAGGATCTGGTCTGGATCATATATATATAAAAAATTTTAAAGCCAATCTGGGTTACTGTATGATAATTGCACATGAATTAGTCGAGGAGAATTTTGAACTTTGCGTTCTGTTGCATGGAGTATTGGTCAACATAATGGTACCTGCATGGATCACTCATAGAAACTTCAGATCGAAAGAGAAGAAATTCTTAACATCGTGTAATCCACATTGTAACCTATCAACCCTCAACTATTATTAGAATGCATGTATAAAAGGGGGCGTCAACTCCATTTTAGAGGGGACACACACACATAACCTTGTAAAAACCTTGGAAAAACACAGTTAAACAAAAAGCCTACTTAGCGAAGCCTCGTAAGCTCACTATTACCGTTTCCTCATTGTAATTTACTTGCACGTAATCCAAGTCTAAATAATAACCTTGGAAAAACACATTTAAGTCGTGAGCATTTCTGCACGAATACAAGTAGTATTCGAAAATGAAAGAAAACAAAAGCAGTGACGCAGAGAGAAAGAACCTCAGTTTTCATTTTAAGTCGACAAAAACCAGCCTGGACTTTTATTTACTTTAATGACGCCTACTATTTTCTATATGGTCGTCAGCCCTTGCGTCTGGTGCAGAAGACAAAATCAATATCAACTCTCGCTTTGGATATTTTGATTAGTCAAATCGGGATAACGGCGCCCTTTTGTGCTTTTTATATGCCGTGAGTTCAAACTTCAGACCTCTGTGTGGCTTCTTAAGGAGTGATGAGGGATTTATTATTCTTAGACCCACTTAGAATTTTTAATTAAGGGTTTAAGAGTGAGATAAAATAATCAGCGGGGTAGGTAAAGGGAGAGAATTATTCAATTGGGTTAAAAAAAGAGTAAATGCCGTTTACCCACTCAAGGTTTGGCGAATCTCCAATTCCCACCCATGGTTTTATAAATTCCAATTTCCACCCTTAAATTAGAAAATTGTTTAATTTAATTGTTAAAGGGTAAAATGGTCAACACACAGCCGTCCTACTCCTCTCTCTCCCTCCTTTTAATCCTTCCTTTCTCTCCTAGATTTTAGTCAGATTTCAGCCGAATTTTGCACCAAAATCTGCATAAATCATCTCCTCATCACTGATTACACCTTTCCCAAGCCGGATTGGTTCGTTTTCGGACTGATCTTGCACCATTTTTGCATTGTTTGTGTGACCCCCAATCTTGCTCGATCAACTGTTCTCAAGCCCGATTTGGACGGTTTCCGGCGTCGATTTAACCACTTGACTCCATCATCATCTTCCTCTCACCATCCTCTTCAAAAACCCCACCAACATTACCACCAACAGCTTTCATTTCCACCTTTCGCTACTGCATCTCTCCACCGTGATGTGTGCCTAAGTTTGTTGTGTTTTCACTTAGTCTACTGTCCACCGCCAACATCAAGCTCCTTTCTTCTCCCTTGACACAACGGTTACCATCTTAGGTCGCACTGTTGCCGTTTCATGCTTGCAATCGTCTTTCATTTTTCGGATTTGTGAGTGGGTGGTGGATTTGGGCGGTGGTTTGTGGTTGAATTTGTAAGTAACTTGGTGGTGGTTGTTTGGTGGCGGCGGGGCTGACTTTGGGCCGGGTTTAGAGGGATTGCGGTGGTGGTGGATGGGTGGAATGGTGGTGGTGGGCTCGGTTTGTGGTTTGTCTTGGATGGATTTGTAGTTGAGTTTATGGTGGTTTTGGGTGGGTTTGTGGCTGAGTTTGCGGCTGAATTTGTGAGTGATTTGGTGGTTCTTTGGTGACGATGGGGCTGACTTTGGGGTTTAGAGGGATTGCAATGGTGGTGGATGGGTGGAATGGTGGTAGGTGGTGGTGACTTTGGGGTTTCAGTCGTGATGTTGTTGAAAGGTGGTGGTAGTGGTGATGGTGGCTGGGTGGCAGTGTAATCAAAAGTCAAGGGCAGTATGATAATAGCACTGTTTGCAACTATGTCGATGGTGGTGGATGGGTGGAATTGTGATGGGTGGTAGTGACTTTGGGGTTTCGGTTGTGATGGTGTTGAAGGGTGGTGGTAGTGGTGATGGTGGCTGGGTGGCTGTGTAATCAAAAGTTATGGGCAATATGGTAATAGCACATTTTGCAACTGTGTGAGAAGTCAAAATTCATTAATAATGTTAATTTAAGGGTGTAAATATGGAATTTATGAAACTATAGGTAGAAACTTGTAAATTTGCCAAACCTTGGGTGGGTATATCTCGTTTATACTTAAAAAAAAAATGTAAAATCACAAGTCACGCCCATCCTGAACTCTTAACGTTATTTGCCCGATATGGAAGACCATCGAGGAAAAGTTATGGTAAATTTAAAGGACACTGTCTGTTACTCGTGTTGTTTAAAATATTGTTCTCTATTAAAGTATTCATTAGTCATTACATATGAAATATTATTTGCATTAATTAACCTTGAGATAGGTTGTGTTAGATTTTATTATAGCATAAATCTGATTGTAGGGGAAACGCCTGCTGTTTTGGAATGGTCAGAGGGTGGTTGACACAGATATGGCCATACGCCTTTTGAGTCCCCGACCACCTCCTCCACGACCAACGCCGCCATCTTACAACATGTTGACATATAATTGCATCCTAGGATTCTTTGTTACTGTTCTTGTACTTTATTTCTTATGATAAATTGGTGCGTAGATTCTCTCAGATGTCTAAAATGATAACTGCAAGTGAAATTGTGATGATTGTCATAAACAACATTCAAGACAGTAGAATATTTTTGGCATATTTGAGAAACGAAAACTAAATGAAGAACATATAAAGTTTGAATTCTATAGAAAATCCAGCGATTACAAGCTTTCGTATAATTGTCTTGGTATTAGAACATTTTGCAATTTATTTATCGAGTGATCCTCATTCTGTTGACTTGTGTACCCTCAAGCTTCGTAATGATGTGTTTTTGATTTGTAGTGTCAACCCGGTGACGCCCTTTCTACGACATGATTTTACTGTCGGCAACGACATGATTTTACTGTTGGCAGCGACAGTACCAGGGTGTCTAAGGTGTATTGCATTAGAAGTATCTTAGGTTGATTTTTTTTTTTTTAAAATTAAATATGCACACCTTATTAATCTTTGAGAGGTCAGTTTATGTATATCTTGATTAATCTTTGGAAGACTAACGCAATAATCTACTGTTATAATCTCCACTTAAATGACGGATGTTTAGATGGGGAGTCAAACCTGAGAGAATAATACTTCACATACATCATTCTCATACAACATTATATGGCAAGATGTGATTGGGTAAAAGTTTAATTTTAACTTTTAATTAACAAATCATATCTTACCACATAATGTTGTATAGAAAATATTGTACTTGTAGTATTACTTGAGATTATGTATCTATCCTCGTTATCTCTAATTTGACCTAACCATAGGCTATCGATGAGAAATGATTTTATTATTGTGTAAGTTTCTGAACGTATTGGAAGTCAAGGCATTCTGCTATTTATAAAGGGTTTTGATAGCTTTTAATCCGACTATAGGGACACGCCAGTTATGGAATTGGTCGGATAGTAATTGACACAATGCCACTGCAGCCGTCATGGCCACCGCCAAGACCACCATCTGTCGAGTCCCAGGAATCTTGCATTGGATCACCATCCGTAAAGTCCCAGGAGCCTTTCATTCGACAATAGAGAAGGTTTTATAAGTAATGGTGGTGTACTGGTTGGTCACAAACTATTTGGATTGGTTGATCTTCTCAATGAGAGCAGTCAGTGTTCGACCTTTAGCAAGGATCACGGATTCATGATATAATAGGGCCCCGTATTGTTACAAATTGAAAACTGTTCCTGATCTGCTAACTTTCTTATTCTAGTACATAATAATGCTTTCTGCCAACTTTCTCTTGTATTATCAGTTTCCATTCTCTCAAATAATGAATATTTCATTTATGTAGCAGGCGTTGTTTAAAAATCAGTTATATATTCTTTAAATAATGAATATATTACACTTAGAAGATTTTATATGCAAACTGTTTCATGTCCAGTGTTATTCTTAACTTGGAAGTGCTTTGAAGTAATCGTAAAAGGAAATGAAAAGGGTTTTATTTTATATTAAAAAATACATTTACAATGTAACTGAAAAATTGCCTGAAAAGGGACAGCATTACAGGTGTTGTACTTAAAGGGAGACAGCAAGCTTGTGCCCGATGACACCAGTCAAAAAATTAAGACACCCGAATAATACATCCGAAACACCCGAAATCAGACTTTATCGGGTCACTGACTCGGCAACCCAGTATAAAAACGAAAGCTTTTCTGTCATTTTCAGTCAATATCGCTGAACTGATAAGAGTGACGGTTATGGTGCACAACACAAAGCCATCATGAATAAGGAGGAGAAATCGTCGCTGTCGAGTCCAACTGAACAAGAAACAACAAGGGAGTTGCAGATAGTGGACCTCACAACATCATCAGTTTTCAAGTTGCCTCGTGGTTGGTCTGTCGAAGAACGTCCCCGTATTAACTCTCAGAGCCACCCTGGCCGTGTCGACAAGGTTCTTTCTTTCTCTTCTTTAATTGTCTATTCAATCCTATTCTATGTTTATTGTTACTCCGGTTAAACTTGTTAAAGCACTAGCATTATATCTGCAAGTTATGTCTATGTATAATGTATTGTATGTAAACGTTTGAAACTATAATTATCCTCTAGGACGAATGTCTAAACTATACAAAACTTGAAAGCGTTGACCATTTTATAAAGAAAGCAAAACAATTCATATAACTGTCCACATTTTAATTTACCTGAATAAATTTAAGCATATATTTTTATGTATGTATCTCGAATGTATGTCTATGTGTATGTATATACATTAGAAGAATATGTTTGGGGTTTATTTGGAGATATGCAAGTGAATTAGTGTTTGATTAAGTATAAAGTTTGCAGTTTAAAGTATGCATATATAGTTGGAGAGTTTCAAAGTTTATAGAGAAAGATTGATAAAATTGGAGCTTAATTTTTCCCATCTTTGATGAGTTTTAATTATTTATTTGATGAAAAGATTGGACATTATAGCTATTGTACCTTTCAGCTATATTCATTGCATTTTGATGACTATGTAGTATTACTATGAGCCCAAAACCGGACGGAAGTTTCGTTCCTTGATATCTGTTCAAAAATATCTGAGCGGGGAAACAGAATATGCAATTATGCCTAAGAGAGTGAAGTATGGCAATGAAAAACATGTAAGTTTTGAAAGTGATTTCTTTTATGATGACAAGACTTTATTCATGTTTGGGAATTTTTGCTATGAGAATCAGCTGGTGTGTTCATATTTTTGTGTCTGAATCTGGGTATCAGCTTACCTTCTTTCCCATACCAATAACACTGCAGATGCAAATTGTGCCCTTCAACACCAAGAATACCTCATCATTTGGACTGCCCAACCATTGGATTGTTGAGGAAAGGCCTCGTAGGAGAGGCAGCATCATTGACAAGGTACTCTTTTACTCTACATTTCTGTGACAGGGTGTGTCTAGGTGTGTTCTTATGTAAACAATTTCTTGTAGGTTATAATTAGGATAAAGGGATGCTTGTGAAAACTGTAAGCACAAATTTATAAGTGTTTGTTCCAGAACGAATGCAGATACCTTATGGTTAATAACGGGTGCCATGTATATGAGATATGTTTCAGGGTAAAGTCTGAATGATCCATAAGCTTATTTTAGTGGTTTAATTTGTGGTTTGGACTATTTCTACTATCCATTGATTAAAAAACAAGGAAATCTCTAGGGAGTATGTTAGTATTGAGTATATTATGGTTTGATTAAAACATTAAATAAAGAACAATGGTGCCTACTAAAAGTATTGCATGAATTTATGATGTACAGGCAAAACCATTACTGAAAATGAAAAAAGAGGAAGGGTTAGATTTGATTCCTGGGTTGAAGTAATTTCCAAATTCCCTCCTAATAAATCTGCTCAAATCTTTTGCTTTTACCTTTTTCAGAATCTGGCTACTTTAGAACCCAGAAATATCATCAGAGTTAAAAAACTTTCACCATTTGAGTTGTGATTTTTTTTTTTTTTTTTTTTTTTTAGTAAAATAAATTGCTGAAAATTAAACCCTTCTAAAATTTAAGAATCTGAGAAAAAATTGTGGAAATAACGTATGTTAGTAACATCTTTGTGATCTTAATTAGTTAAAAAATAGTGAATGTTTAATTTCGTGAACAGTTCTTTCTTTAAGTTGCATACTGCAGTATTACATTGAGACAGGGACTGGACTACGCTTCCGTTCTCGGATAGCCCTTGAGAGATATCTTGCAGCAATGAGAGAAGTTACGTCCACAAGCAAGGCAAAATCAGATGATCAGTTGACTGTGAGTTTGATGATAAAATGTTTTATTTGTGAAAGTTACTTTCTGGGTTATTTTATACTGTCCTTAACTCAATACTATATTGGCTATGTGAAGAAAGATATTTCTGATGAGAACCAAACCTTGAGAATCATGGTGAAACACCTTCAAGATGCAGGAAAGATTAAATTTAAACCCAAGGCACTAAAACTAGACAATCATTCTGCGGTGAGTTGGACAATTTTAACTTCATGATATAAAAAGAAAATAAATATGAACTGTTATTTTATTTTATTTTTTTTAATCTTATTGAACTGTGCTTCTTTTTCAGCCTTCAAAGAATTTTAGCTTTCAGGAGAAACATAGTTCTGTCATGGCGGTTAATCCTTCAACAATTGATTTTCCCAGCCTACCAGCAAAAGTGAAATGGGTTCTTGGTGGCCCTGGAGGAAATATGTGGAATCCTTTTGTGGGTGAATCTATGGTCCCAGAATCTGTGAAGCAAGAATGGTCCGAGACATTTGTAAACTCTATACAGTTACTAGGTAATTAACTCTTATAGTTCCCTGCAAATACTGAAATTTTTTATATAACAGTTGAAAATAGAGGGTCTTCTAAAGTATATAGAAAATATTTATTCTATGTTCTTGTGTACACATTTTCTTGTATATTATAATGATGAATGTAATTGTTTTCTTGATAATACAATCTGTCTGATTTATTTTGCAGCCACTGATAATGGAGGCACAGGAATTTAAGGCAGATTAAATGGTGCTGGAAACCTTATTAGAGATTCAGGTGAGGCCAGGTTCCAAGTTGACTACAGATGTGAAGCAACTTGTACAGTTGTTGATGAAGTTTTCAGGCAAAGTTCCAAATTGGAGGTGTAGGTCCAACCTTCAGTTGCTTTTCATATCGATGTATTAGACATGGAACTATATATGAAACTTGAGGAAGGCGTTCCATTTTGATTTGTGAACCTGGTTTAAGGCTATCTAAAGTTATATCAACCCTGCAGGATAATTTAATGTGAACCTCTTATGCTATAATTTGTTATCTTCAAAACTACATGTGAATAATATTCATAAGAAAATACTCTCAAATGAATAAGCCGTTTCATCCAAAATTCTGTACTTGAGAAACGATATACGAAATTAAAAGGAAGAATAGAAGTTGGATTCATCCAAAATTCTGTGATGATATGCTTTCTCATAATGCTCTCCTTTTATCGTAATTTACTTATAGCAATCAGAGCAGTGCCTGCTGATAATTGATTGAGCCAATTACCCATCAGTTTATTTTGTTTTATTGTGGACTTCAGTCCCCTAGATCAATAGAGGTCTTTCATTCTATGCCAGAAATGGTTATCTTTTAAAACCATTAACAAATGTATTGCAAGTCTGCAATTCACTGAAGCTTCTTCTCTGTGCTTCTTATAGACTAAGACTCCTTGATCTTCATAATGCCTTGAGACTTTCTTTTATGCATTTTTTCAGTTTGGATTAGGACCTGAATGTCCCTAGCTGTCTCTGACTCTTACAACGGTAGTGATGTCACCCCACGAGGAGAACGACCTCTACCAGCACCACAACTGTCGATTGTCACGGGTTGGGAGTTTCACACCCAAAAGGCTAACCTATTAGGTGGAGGGACTCCCCCCATTTATAAGCATAAGACCTCCTCAATACGCTTCTGATGTGGGATTCATTACATTCTTTCCCACCCAATCCTGTGACGAGAGATCCTGTGACGCTCTCGTCACAGGTGGGGCCCCTTGTCTACCCGTCCACCTCACTCTCGTGTAGATCTATAATCACACGTGGATGCCCCTGCGTGGGTGTTTGGTGGGATATCGAAAGACGGATCGGGTCTATCTTGTAATGAAATTCATTATATGATTAACCAGTTTTTTTTTTTTTTTTTTTTTTGGGGTCAGAGATTAACCCCTTTTTATCGGATGTGAGAAAGAGACGAACTAGTAGCTAAGGAACAAGAATTGGGCTGTCCATCATTGAAATTAGGCCTCTGGAAGCCCAGGTTTCCTGTCTCCATATTAAGATAAATAGCACAAGAAAACAGTACATTTCGAAACCCTGAAGTTGAAAATTATTCAAGCAGTGAAATCTACCAAGCATCTTGATATTCTTCACTAAAATCCTGTGCGACTTGCTCTTTCATTTAAATTTAACCTTAAACACATTTCTTACCTGTTTTAATTCCAAAACTATAAATTCCATCATAATGAAACACTATCTTCCATCTTCCATGTACTAAAACACAATTAAACACTGAAACTTCCCTGTTTTAATGAACACTATAAGTTCTGTTTTAACTCAAAACACTTCGACCATCACAACTTCCTGCTCTTACTCATACTTCAACCATATCGTTGTTTTGACTGATTGAGTGTAATCGACATAACATCTTAAATCATTATCACTTAACCAAACTTGCAATGGCTTAAATTCTATTTTGTGAGTTACGTATGAAAGAAAAAAAAAATTATTGAAAAATCTGCTAAAACTATTTATGCTCATTTCTCCACAAAATCTTCTTAGTTATGAATCAGAAAAAAAGACAGAAATTTATCATCTTTCAGATAAAATATGGAGCAATGACCATTATTAACCAAAATGCAATGATCCACATTCTCAGACAATTAAATTAACTCACAAGTCACAAATGATAATTCTGCTGACCCACCCAATGATGTATACAACAATCTCAGTTCCTCAACTTGTCGTCTCAACCATTGCCTCATAAATCTAAGTGCTTACACCAATTGTCAAAATGATGCATATATATATATATAGAAACTGACTTCATATTTGTAATTTTCACTGAGAAATCTTGTTTCAGAAGCCTGGCGGCAATTTTCTAGACAAATAGAGAGAGAGCTCATCTCTCAAATGTACACCTTTTATGTCAAGGGTTCCACAAATCTGTTGGTGATAACCTGAGTCATGGTCATGAAACGAAGGCATTTCCTCCTGCACCTCATCTTCCAAATCTATAACAATGTTATGAAGCAAGCAGCAAACAAGAATAATCCTTGGTAACTTATGTTTGTCAGGTCTCCACATGACTCCTTGTATGATCTTCCACATATCTTTTAATCTTGCCAATGCCCTTTGTGCCACCATTTGCGTCACAGAATGCCGTCTATTGAACTCGGCTTTGAACTGAGGGAGCTCTTTTCCTTCATAAGGAGTCATAAGATAGGGCAGTAAAGGATAGCCTGAATCCCCAATTATATATTCTCCCATTTCTGATCCTTCAGAGAGCTCTAACCTTTTCCCATTCAACCTCTCCCCTTTATCACACATTTTGCAGAAATTTGAACTCTGAAAGACCAACCAGTCTTCCATTTTCCCTGGCCATCCAGTGACTATGTCTCGGAACCTCATTTCAGGGTCCACAATTGCCTGCAAGATCATGCTGTGATTCTTCTCCTGATCAAGCCACACATTACTTGTGGGGTCCGAGGAAGGCAAACACATCATTACATGCGTGGTATCAACCACACCACAGCAATTAGGGAGGCCTTGTATCTTNTATATATATATATATATATATAAAACATAATCCTTATCGGAAGGAAGATTTTTTAGGATATTCTCTGGATTATACAGTCATCCACAAACCCAATTTATAATATATATATATTATATTTCAATTTTTTAGGATACTCTATGGATTATATGATCATCAACATAAATAAAAAGCAAATTGACATATATGTGAATGTGATGACCAAATGTCACACTCAATTTGTACATCCACTTGTTTATATTTTAATTTACCATCAAAAAATAAATTAAAAATTAACTCATTCTCAAGATTTGGTCCACAATTACACTTTCTATATTCCACTTAATTTAATTTTGTTTTTTTAGTATATGGTTTTCATATATTTTCTCTTAGTAAGACGTTTGTAACACCTCATTCATGACCAATCAAGGACGTTTGTGCATATTTTTAGCTAAATTACATAAACGAGAAGACAAATTAATAAATAATAATAATTAGTGTGTTTTTGAAGGTTTTAATCAAGTCAAAAGCAAAGTTGGAACAGTAACCATAAATTAATTAATATAATCCAAGAGATTTACCAAATCATTATATAAAATAAAAAATCAATGGAAAAATTTGCAAAATAAATTAGTTTCAAAAGAATGAGGTGGCTGATTTACCTAATTAAATCGTAATCCATTAATTTTCTTGGTCAAAATTGAGGTTAGTTGCTTAATTAGATTTTGTTAAATCTGGACAAGTCAGCATAAACTGCTAGGGTGGTGGTGCGGTGCCCCCATGTGCACCAAATTTAGACCATATATTATATTTCGTGGTCTCGTGGATTTGATTAATAATTTCACTCAGATTTATTTTCAATTCCACATCATTCCCCACACGTGCGCCCAGCAGACTTTTGACCTTGACCTCACGTTCTTCATGTTTTCTTATTATGGCATCACTTCAATTTCATTGCAAAATTACCTTACAAAATATCTACTTCTTAAAATTGTATTTACTATTATATCAATTTCCATAATTTTTTTTAATAAAGTATGACATACCAAGGAGAAAAAAAATTAATTTATTGAAAATTTTGATTTGTGATTGGAAAATAATTTCCAATAATTGAAATATGATCCAAATTTTTGAGTAGTTCTTAATACAGTATTAAAATATATTTGATGTAACATTTAATGATTGTTTTTAAATTAAGACTTACAGAAAACTGTAAAACAACTCTTAATCGTTTCTATATTTACACTAACCTTTTAGGATTGTATTAAAAAACTGTTTTTAAAAACATTTTGATTTATTTCTACTAAACATATTTTCATAAGATTTTTTGTATCTTTTGTTTTGAAAAACAAAATTTGTACTTAAATTCTTTATCAAACGAGCGTATCTACATTTTTTTTCTAATATAAATTGGTAAATACATCATTTTTGTTTTGTTATTGTTTTTATTTGAATATATCAGTCAATTGATGAATTTTAATAGAGAGATTAGCATTTTGTTTTAGAATTTAAGTGCTGAATTTTTATTTTTTTTATTAAATTGGACACATTATAAGTCTAGATTCTCATTCTAGAAATTTTTTGACTTTAGATTATGTACATGACCAACATACGTATTAACGTAGAAATTTGCACGCTTCTAATTATTTTCTTTAAGGACATTAAGATATGGATTTTTTTAATATTAAGAATAAATATGATCAAATACAGTTAACATGAACAAAAATATCATTATTAATCATATATACGTTACGTGGGTGTGTTTGTTTTATTATTTTAGGTATGGTTTTTGTAAAAGTTAAAGTTGGATAGTTACTGCGAGGTACGATTTAAAAATTAATAAAACACCCTCTAGATTTGTTAATTTAGCTAAACACTCCTACAATAAAATATTAAAAATTAATAAAAACACCTCCACCTACCCATTAAAAGCCGGTAGCCGGCCACCATCACCGAAGGGTGGTTGGCTATCGCCATAATGGTGTACGACCGATTGGATCTAGCCGATCGTGTGTCGATATGACATTTTTTGGTCATATTCACTGTGGATTTGGTCGAAAAATGCCAGATCTACGGCCAGATCTGGTCGTTGACGGCTAGATTTAGCCACATTTGGTCATCAACGACGCCCAAAGATATGGCTGTCGTTGATGGTCAACGACGTCCATATCTTGACCATCGTTGACGACCAGTTACAGCCAAAGATTAGGCCGGAAAAGGCTACATCGACACACTACTGACCAAATCCAACCGGTAGTGTGCCATTACGTCAGATTCCTGGCAAATGTGGATAGGTGGAGGCGTTTTTGTTAATTTCTAAACTTTTTTATTTTGAAGATGTTTAATTAAATTAACAAACCTAAGGGGTTTTAAATAATTGAATAAATAGAATATGATTTTCCGAATAGGGAAACAAATATATATTTTGAGTAGGATAATAGTGTAAAAATATTAAAACAAACACAGCCACAGATATTGACCCTAAGGTATGGTGTAATAATGAAAATGATGTTGAAGTTTTTTAAATAACAAAATTCCTCTTATTGTTAATGAGAACTTATATTATTTGAGTGCATGAAAATTTACTAAATTACTCCCTTATAGTTTATCTTTAACTCATAAAACTTAACAATAGATGAATTTTTGTTATTTAAAATCCTTGGAGAGATTGTTATTATTTAATTAAAACTCAGAGACATTATTGTTATGAACTCTAAAAATTATTCACATACCATCGGCAAATGAATTATTATTTTGATATTTATACATAAAAATAAAAAAATCTTAAATATGATGTATATCAAACAATATTTATATAAATATTTACGTGTATGTAACATGATACATTAGAACCTCTCTATAGTCATAATATAGGGACTAACTAAATTTATTACTATTAGGAGGTTATAACTTAATAGAGGTGTAGTTACAAGAATTACTGTTTTGATTTTTGATTTTATAATTCATGTTTTAGTAGTATTATGATTTTAATTCATTGTTTTAGTAGCATTAGGATAGTATGGATATAGATATCAAAGAGTCATCACAAAATTAAGTGATCAGATTTGATAACTTCACTACACTAATCAAATGAATATTTATATCTTCATTAATCATCTAAATGAGCAATAAGTTGTATATACTTTAACTGAAGAAGAAATCATTACTGGAATTAGACAAGAAGAGGAAAAAGATAATCCTGATGATGAATATAGTATGGAAATGCCAAAAGTTTTGTGTCAAGAAGCTCAAAACATGTTTGAGAGCTCGAAATATTTTAGCTTCAACAAGAAGGTGTTTATGTTGGCGACCTATTATATACCCGCAAGATAAAAGATATGGTAACAACTCTAAAGTAGAAATCATTATCTCAAACAACTTTAGATAAATATTTTATTTTATCTTAAACATTTAATGTAACATAACACATATTTTTTTATAATATACATACAATTATTACTATGTAGAGGCAAGTTCCTTAAGACGAGACTTAGAAAAACTATAACTTATTATAATGTGAAATTTATTCTTATTTATAACTGACTTAAGTTGAGACCATAATTTTTTATGATTACGTGGAGATTGTTCTTATATAAAGTATCACTATAAAGAGGTTCGACTATGTATTTATCTTGTGGAAGATTCGATATGGATTGCAATACGTCTGAAATTCTCAAAGGGTTGGTAGGTTACAGGAATGGAACAAGTAGCGTGTGGACTTGTAGTAGGTGTGCTCAACGAATTGACCCGCATACACTTTTGGAAATTAAGTTTGCTTTCAGTTTGTGGGAGGCTTCCCTCTTACTTGCAAGCAAAGAATTGCTTTTCAAAGTATGATCAAGACTTACACAGGAATTAAGACAACACAATTTAAATATGCAAAATATGGTAATGGAATCCAAGAAAATTAAGTTTTCCTTTCCTCCTTTTCATATCACAAACAAAAAACATTTCACAAATAATCCAAAACTTTTTGCATTTTTGGCATTAGATTTACAATTCTAGGTTGCCCAATAAAAGAGAAATTGTATTAAATAGCACTATTTTGAGGTCTAAGTTTAAAACTAGCACTTTTTGGAAAGTCTCTCACAATATAGCGTAATTCCATTTTGTGGACGGAAATGCCACTTTTGACTCTTTCTTCAACCTTAAACCAAAACTCATCCTTCAACCCTTAAAACTCATCTAATAACTACAATCCCTACTAAATCAAAGGATATTTATGTAGATGGGTGGTTAATATTGGTTGCTTGGGATAATTTTTAGATAGGCATGTTGAAAATTGAAGGATTTTGATGTTTTTGACGAAAACTGGAACTGCCTATTGGTTGAATTCGACCGTTTGGACAGCTCAAGGTTGAAGACAATGAAAAAGGGTCGATACCAGCTGAAATCGACCAATAAGTGTATCAAACACTTTCTTCTGGTTGATGGGGGTATTTGTAATTTAAACTAGTTGGCACCTCATTTGTACAATATAAAATAATCCTCTATGAAAATTTCAGATACCTCTATAGGTAGGAAAAGTGTCCATACCCTTTATTGGTCGGTTTCAGCCATTTTTTGTCGTCTTCAACCTTAAACTGCACAAATAGCCGAATCTGAATGAATCCGGCTGATACCCTCTGTCGGCCAAAAAATGCAAGTCCCTTTCCACCATCGAAAGCCATTAAAACCACCTACATTCGGACCATCAAACAACAGTTAACCCAATCTTACATCCTAAACCAACAACTCCATCAAAACCCTAAATCTAAAACAATACAACAAAATCTTAAATGCAAGTTAAATCGACTGAAATCCGTGACCAAATTGAATGGCAAAACCGGTTTANGACAAAAACTTGATTTTGGTGGATGAAAATATTAGAAATTCAGAGTAAAATCAGAACAAAATTGCAATTGAAGACGAATTGAGCAATTGTATATTGCAAGTTGGTGCACAATCTGTTTATTTCTGGCGAATGATTGCCTTTTTTTTTTTTTTTTTGTGTGAAAGTCTTGAATCTTCCCATATTTGAAAGTATGAGACTAATCTCAATTGGGGCTCGGATAACGACCCATGACCACAAGATGTTTTCAGTGCGGTTTAAACTCTTGACATTATAAGTAAAGTTTGCCTCACTTGAAACCTAATTACCAGTTAAGCCACACCTCACGGTTGCGGCGTATGGTTGCTATACAAACTTCATAAGAGTGATGAAGCTAACTTTTTTAATATTTAGTGAGTAAACTGACAGCAGCGGTCAGACCTTTTTGCTGTTGGCCCTTTTGGGTTAAATGGACAATCATATTAGTTTTTATTAGAGTTCGGCCGATATAATATAGGTTCAATTAGACAATTTGAATATAACCTCATCTAAAAGAAGAAGATTATTTTGTTTTTACTTTTGAGCAACTTAATTAGAATAATTATGAGTGATTGGAAAAGATGATTTTGATGGTTTTAATACACAGTTTTTTATTTTTTTACAATTTATGTAGAGACTAATGGAAAAGCATATTATGATTAGACAAATATCAATTTTATAAAGGATTACATTGGTTGACTGCTTGACTGCATCCAATTCTGATTTTTCAATTTCTTCTGGAAAGGGCAGCAGGCACATGTTTCAAACGAAGACTAGCAATTTATCTGACTTCCTTTTCAGGAATGGGATCATAAAAGTCTAATAGCCCATAATTATTGGGCTTAAATTAACTGTAAATTATAACGAAGCTACAAGCCCAAGACCACTACGTTGTACTATTTAATAATTGCACCAGGTAAATAAATTGCTTTTATTCTTTTAAAACGATCTCTTCGCATCCAAAACCAAGCTTTGACAACTATATACAATCTATAAAATATTTGAAAATAGCAGTGTTTCCTACTCCACAACGAATTAGTACCACCTTCATTCATCGGGAGTAACTTATTTTATGCTTATATATCACAGTTTCATATACTGTAATATAGTGGGCTAGATTCTCAGAAAATAATAGAGTTACCGAAAATTACACATCGAATGATGTAGTATAATCCTGATCGTTGATTAATATCAACTTATAATGAATCAACGATCAGGATTACGCCACGTCATTTGGTGCGCATCCTTTAGTAATTGTAGCATTATTCCTAGATTCTCCTAGCTTCAACTTAAGCTCGTACGAATATTAAATTTAAGCCTATATTCGTATTGGTACCCTTTTTCTTGTCTGTTTAATAGATTTTTCTTTATTGTATTATTTATCTTCACGTGGCAGATCCATTCCATGTTGGTACTCAAAACTGGCTTCTTCACAGCATACAAAAACAACAATCGGTGTAATTGTTGTACGATAAAACAAGAAAACATCAAACAAATTAATAGAAACACCATTGAATTTGAACTTGAACAAAGATGCGCGCAGTTTGTTGTATTACATGAACCTAATAATTGCACATACAATACGCCACCGTGGAGAAGAAAATACATCAAATATTTCTGCTACAAAACAAAGTCAGAATGTAAATTACAAGCACGGTGAGCATACAAGTACAAATGCTTCAACAGCATTAGTGGCTGGTTGAGTTCCAAAGTCCAAATTTCCATAACCTACACACCAAGGGCCAAGGGGAAAATGCAAAGCAAAAGCTACATTTAATTTCTCGGAGATTGAGAGAGCCTCGACCTCTTCAATCTCCATGACGTATTGAGTCAAAATAGCTAACTTCCTCGTGACTCATGTGCATACTTGAAGACGATGAACTAAAGTAGATGGTAATACCTAGGACAAAATTCCATTTCCCATGTTCCAAAGTCCTCATATAGTCAAAAGAAGGGCTTAAAAAAGGTAATGGGGTTAGCATCAAATAAACAAAACTAGATCAAATTCAATCCCCACTAACACCGAACCACAAACTGTGCTGACTCCAGCCCAAAACTCCAAGCTGAAATAGACAAAATCCCAAACTTCACCAACACAGTTTCATAGGATTTCTCCAAACCTTTCCTTTTTCTTCCTTCTCATTGTGCGAGCCCACCGTGCCGTTTCTTGCAACTTACTACCTTATATTTCGCCTATGTTTCTCGAAATCCTTTCTTCTT